CAAAGCCCCAGTAGATAGTTGTATGTCATAGTTGCACATCCTTCTAGTTGCTGTATGTGGGACGCGGCCTCAGCATGGCCGGAGAAGCGGTGCATCGGTGCCCGCCCGGGATCCGAACCCAGGCCGCCAGCAGCGGAGCTCGCACACTTAACCGCTAAGCCACGGGGCCGGCCCTGCTTTCCTGTTTTAAAATTCACGTGATTTTTTCATAAAAGGACTCTGTGGCTTGCATTCAGGTTTGTTATCGATGTTCTTTCTTGAGATGATGCAAACAAAAGTTGGACCTAAGTGCTGTATGAGTTAAGATTAGACTCAGTTGTTGCAAGAAGTTTCTCCTTTTCAGTCTGGGTGTGATCAGTCTGAGGACGATATGGTATCCACGGTGTCACGGACCCAGGCACCTCTTCTCTGATTACTGCACCATTCTTATTTGATTACTCTGTCATCCTCAGAACATGGCATCCGTTGTTTGGTCTAAGATGACCACTCCAGTTATTACCATCCCATCTGCATTCCAGCGAGGGAGAAGGGAAGGCAGGATCCTTCCCCTTGGGAGAATGACTTGAAAATTGTACAGTTCATGTCTGTTCACATCCCATGGACCAGCACTTAGTCTGTGGACCCATCTAGCTTTGAGGAGGCTGGAAAATGTGGTCCTTAGAGTAATTGGACATCTAGGTGGTTCCATTGTTCGGTTTTCTGGTAGTAACCCCTTATTTGTCATTTTCTACTTCCCTCTTTTTAAAATCACTGAAAATATGTATTTGAATAAGTCTTTTTAAGTAAGCATATGGTCATTATTAAATGACGGTGATGGAAAAACTACAGGAAAAAAATGAACGTCCATAGAGTCATTGCTAGCAGCTGTTTGATAAACACTAAACTTGTAGCATTCTTCAGCTCCTGACTTGTGTCTTACCTCTCTGATGAGCTGTGTGATTTCAGATATGTCAGTTGACATTTGTGTCTTGGTCTCTTTATCTGGAAAAGAGAGCAGTATTGTCTAACTCGCAAGGTTGTTCTTGTGATTAAATGAATTCATGGATGTGAATGTGTTTTGAAGACTAGGAAGCACAGCACAGATGAACAGCTGGTGGTGGTGCCTTGGATTGAGGCACGGCCTCCTGCTGACAGAATCTTGAATGTTATTGTTCTGGAGCAGTTGCCTTGATCCTATTTCTGCACTCGAGGGACAGCCTGGTGCCTCACTGCCTCCACCAGACTCTCCAGCTGGGGATGGGTTCCCTGGCTAATTACAGATCCAAAAGGCAGGCCAGGTCACTACTACTATTTCTTAACTGCCTGTTAAGCAAACATGGAGTCCTTTTCGTTTTTCTTAGGTTTCTAATACTAACATTCACTGGAGGCATTACCAACAGAAATCCAGAATTACAAGTTAATTTTCAGAAGCGCACACGGCCGAGGTCTCTGCACCTTCGTTGAATCACAATTCATTTTCTCCTCTGAGTTTCCGTGTTTTCTGTTTTGCTCTTCCGTAGTCATTCCTTCACTTACTCATTCATTCATTTATCAAACATCTATTGAGGTCCTACTGTGTTCCAGGCACCAGGACTCAAAGGTGATTGAGGGACAGTGCTTTTAGGTGAAATAAATGCACCTGGTATCCTGGCACTTCGTAGGGCTTCAGTACATGTTTGTTGCTCCTGCCCCCATGTTGCTCAGTTGACTCCTTCCTGCATCTTTGACTATTATGAATGTGTTCAGAAGAGACGGGCGGTGCTGTATGCTCAGAACATGTGCAGCACAGATTGTTTTCCAGTGGACACAGCACAGACATCTGGACTTCACGTTGATTTCATCAGAATGAGTAGAAATTGTAAAATTCTGTTCTGCTTCCCAGCCCGAGCTTCACCTACAGAGCACAGTGATAGAGTATCTTCGGCTTTTATCCTTCTTCCCATCCTTGATCCATCCTTCACCGAAGCATTTTAGACGTGAAGTTAAATAGAGAAGCGTGAGGAATGGGCAAAAATCTCCCGAACTCCTCTTGCCACCTTTCCCACTCTAACTTCTCAAAAGACGTGATTGGTGGGCGCCATTGTTTTGGTAGCAAGGGCCAATTTTAAAGCCTTCTCTTGTTACCTGCCTCCTCTTTGACATGCATCTAATTTTCCTTCCTTTTGTAGGCTGTCAGTCAGATGAAACAGCAAAAGTATTCGACGCAAGTCTCCTTCGGTTCACAAGACATGCCTTTAGCACCAGCGCCATCGTACCATTCCACAGACGCCGACTTCCCAGGCTATGGTATGATTCTTTCTCTGGCTGAGTTGACTTGGCTCATCAAACCTTAGAGAAAGAAGGGATGGTGATGTTCTGAAAAGAACGCTGGACCAGGGGTCAGGGAGCCTGGCTCACATCACGCCCTTGGCTTTGGGGCCTGGCCAGGGTGCCACTCCCTACATCATTTTCCTTGTCTGCACCAGTGGGATTGCCTAGTGCTTATTGAATAGAAAAGAGCCAGCACAAAAAAGCCCTCAGTAAATGCTGTTTGAATCTGAGGCTTACAAATTATTCTCTAATCTCTCCAAGGATTGTGTTTAGTTCATAAGTAATATCTCTTAGAAATCATATTGAACCAAATTGTTAGCTTTGCACATATTGATGTAAACCATTTGAACACTGTTAATTTTCACTGCTTGAAGAAATTGGTATTCACTTTCTCTGTTTGAATTCCTGGCTTGAATTATGCTGACTGGTGGTTGAAAATAGAACTTCAAAATGAATAATGAGTTTTTCCATTTTTCTTTTATGCAATATAAGTTAGTTTAAAAAAAAAAAGTACTATTTAAAACACCATGCTCACCAATGGCAAAGCATAACCCTGCATGAATTTAGCAAGCCTGACACCTTTAGGGTATGGTCTTTTACGTATTTTTTCATAAATATTCATAAAAATTTTAGCAAGCAAGTATTGTTCTAAAGCACTGGATTTTTACTAAAATACTTGGTGAATGTGGTCAGCACACTTTGACCCCTGGGTCAAATTTGATCTGCCATCTGTTTTCATATGGTCTGCAAGCTAAAACTAGTTTTCATTTTTAAAAGGTTGAAAAAGATCAAAAGAATATTTAATGAAGATTATGTGAAAGTCAAGTTTCAGTGTCCATAAATAAGGTTTTATTGGGATATTCATTTGCTTACTTTCACACTGTAATGATAGAATTGAGTAGTTGCAACAGAGACCGTATGGCCTGTAAAGCCCAAAATATTTACTACCTGCCTTTTACCAAAAAAGCTTACTGGCCTCAATGTCGACTAACTGAGTTTTGATAATATATATCACATATTTATACATCGATAACAAATTCATCCTCTTACAATTTAATCTGTGGCAATTTCATTCGTTCAGTCATCCACTCACCAGACGTTTACTGGGGGCTTGGGCTGGATTCTGTGAGAGAAATAAATCCCTGACTCAGGACTGGCTAGGGTGAAGCGGAAGAGGAGGAGGGAGAGAAAGCCATCTCCAGTATCTCTTACCGTTGTTCTGTCCCCACGCTCAAGACTAAACTAGTCATTTACAAAAGGAGGATCAACTTTTTAAAGCACCCATGAAATTCTGCCACTATTGTACATTGTTTTTACTGTAAATGATGAAAAATGTAGCATGAAATACATATGCTGCAAAAATATCTAGAGACAAATTAGGTTTGCAATTTAATATTCCACTTCTAATGTGACATTTTTAATTGTTACTGAGGTTGTCAGTACATTTCTTATCCTGAGCAGGAGGCCACCAGATTAATAAATTCCATGTGCTCAGATGAGCAGCTGCACAGATGCATACACTGTGCCGGACCCTGGGCTGGGGCCTCACAACACGTCCTTCACTGAACTCCTCTACAGCCTGTCAGATAGGGTCACGTGCATTTTCCTCTGAGAAGTGAGCTTGGTTTCCCCCACCTTTTCACTTCCTTCTTGGGAACTCAAAGCCACTTCTGCACCGCTCCAAAACCTGTGCCCTTGGTCACGAAAACCATATTATTGCTGAGTCAGAGCAGGACCCCCACAGGCTGACCTGGAGCCCGTTTCCCTTTGTTTTATACCAGGGATTGGCAGACTTTTTCTGTAAACGGCCAGAGAGTAAATATTTAAGGCTAGCGGGCCATATGGTCTCTGTTGCCCCTGCTCACCTCTGCCATCTGTGGCGATGGCAGCCGTAGACTAGATGTAAATGGATTAGCGGGGCTGTGTTCCAATACGACTTTATTTATGGACATTGAGATTGGAATTGCATATAATTTTCACATCTTTAAATGCTATTTGTCTTTTGATTTTTTTGCAAATGTAAAAACCATTCCTGGCCGGTGGGCCGGCCCTCCTTGTGCTGGGTCTCGTGAGCTTCCTGAGGCTCAGCGTGGCCCGTGCACTCGCTGCAGCTGACAGCAGGTGGCGCCCTCTGTGCTCAGCCCTTGTCTGAATTACGTTACAGCGTCGGAATCAGAACATGTGGTGATCAAACTCAGTTACCAGAAAGATGACGTTCTCTGGAGACGTTATTTAAACAAGAGTCTCCTGAAACTGATGTTCGGAATGTTTTGATTTTTTAATGGTTAGGTTCAGTTATCTGGAAAATGCACATATGTAGAATTTATGCTAAATGGGTATTATTAAACATCTTTCTTAGCCTGTAAATGTTTTTTCCCAGTTTTTAGTAAAACTCAGTAAGACTGAGTTTTCAGTCTAAAACAATGATTTTAAAAAAGTAAACCTTTATAAAACAGCAGCTTTTCAGTTATGGACCCAGCAATTAATTCTTGAAGGTTGTACGTTTATAACACAGTGTTTTTACTGTGTGTATTAAGGGATAACTTTTAGGTAATTGTTATTTCCAGTTACGTCAGGATTTATTGATTAAATCCTTTATACATCTGAATTCATGTGACAGGCTCTAACTGAAAGTGTTGAAGCACTGTTTCTTGTCTGGTATTTTATAGCTATAACTCAGAATCTTCTGTCATATAGTCTTTATTTTCGTTGTAACATGTGCCTATATGTACTTAATCATTTAATCATCTTAAACTTTTCCATACCACTTTTCATGGTGTATTTTAAGATTTAAAAAAAATTTCAACTATACCTAAAATGGATGATTTTGGAAAGGGGAGCAGTTTATTGTTTTAATCCCAAGAGAGGGGTGGGAGTGACATATTTTATCCCTGGGTGGGTGGGAGTGACGATCCAGCGTTTCCGTCACAGTGCTCGGCGGGAAGACTGAAATGGTACACATGTGCAGACCCTGCCCTCCGTAAGTTCTGGGTGTGCGAGCTGAGCTGCGCCTCCTGCCTGACGCTCACTCTGTTCCCTCCTTCTCCAGGCAGTTTCCAGGCTCCTCTGTCAGTGGACCCTGCCACGTGTCCCATTGTCCCCGGCCAGGAGATGATTATAGAAATATCCAAGGGACGTTCAGGGCTGGGTCTCAGCATCGTGGGAGGAAAAGACACCCCCTTGGTAAGTTTCCAGAAGTGAAGTGTATCCACTGTCACTTAGTTATTTAGTCATTAACAGTTAGTTGTTGAGCCTCATTGTGGCCTGTGTTGCGTCTACGGAAGACTTGGCTTTTTCATGGTATGGAGAAAACATAAGTATAAATAGACGTGCGTCCATATTCTGGCTGGCTCTCAGGTGTTTCTCAGGGTTTATATTCACCAGGGTTTTCTCCCTCTTATAGCTGCTGATTAGACCAACAACATCATAGCAGCATTTAGAAATATCACAGCAGGATTTGGGATGGTGCCTGGCACATGCTGAGTGTAAAATAAGTCTGAACTGTTAGCATCATCATCATTTAGTGGAACGCTACCTAAAAGTATCCTGACATCAGCTATTCCAGCCCAACAATTTAGGTGTTGCTTTGTTCTGACCACGTTCACGTCCACTCATAATCTTTTTTAGAATTCGTCTAGAACGTTAGTTTTTGCTTGGATGGTGGATCTTTGATTATCCGTACATTTTGATTGTCACTAATCAATAGTGCCATTAAAATGTAAAACTTCCTGGGTTTTGATTTACTCAAAATGGGATTAATCAATGCATAAATATTTGAATGGTGGGGCTGGCCCAGTGGTGTAGTGGTTAAGTTTGCGTGATCCGCTTCGGGAGCCCAGAGTTCTCGGGTTTGGATCCTGGGCACGGCCCTACATGTCACTCATCAAGCTCTGCTGTGGCAGCATCTCACATACAAAATAGAGGAGGATGGGCACAGATGTTAGCTTAGCAACAATCTTCCTCAAGCAAAAAGAGGAAGATTGGCAACAGGTGTTAGCTCAGGGACAATCTTCCTCACCAAAAAAAAAATCTGAATGGGTAATACATGCATATTATTCACAGTTAAATTGACACGAAAGGATATAAAGTGATAAATAAACCTCCCTCCTCCTACCTTTTTGCCCTGCTCTGCCCTCCACCCACCCCCATCCTCACCCCCACCCCAGGCCTTTCCCTAGAGACAGTCACTCTTATTAATACAAATGTTAATTCATATTCATATATAAATGAATATATTTAGTAAGGAATAAATTGTATTTGCCAGATTTACAGGTAAAACAAGTACAATATGATCAGTAAAATGATTTTTTCCTTTTTGGGCAGGAATGTCACATTTTTGTTAGTACCGTTGGGGGCGGGGAAGTCCTGTTCTGTTTTTCTGTAATAAATGTTAATCCCCGACACGGCAGGCAGCTCAGGAACAGCGTTTGCTGCAGAACCTGGGTCTGTGCCCTCCACACGGCTCCTGGTCATGGTCCTTCTCTCTCCTGCCTGGCCTGATCGAGAGAATCCTGGTGTTGAGTTCCAGCCTACTAGGAACCACTGAAACCGAATGTGCTCAGAGGCTGCTATTTATTTATTAGAGGATTTGATCTTCTTCAGCTAGATTCAAATTCTGGTGAAACTTTTCTCCGGAGTTCAGGATAATTTACTTCCTAGATTACTCTCCTTTGGCCTGTGCCGGCAGGGACTGTGTGTGGTTTCCCACACACACTGTGATGTTGTCATCAGCTTGGTGGAACTGGGGACACCTGGAGTTAACGGGCTCAGCAGCTGGTGTTAGCTCCCAGCTCTCGCCTGGGTCTTTGCCTCCCTAAGGCCCGGGAACTTTTCTGCATCTCTCGTGATCTGGCTTGGAATGCTATCTGTTCAGTTTTCGTCATTGAGGAAAGGGGCAAACTCTTCCTTAGAAGTTTCCCTTCAAGTGGTTTGGTCTAGGCTGTATTTTTAAATCGTATTTTTAATAATGCGTTCTAGTTATATGTGATCTGGTCTTTGAGCAGTTCATGGAAACACTCTGGCCAGCCGTCCAGCCAGCCCCTGCTGTCTGAGGAGGAAACACAGCCCCCACAGAGGACCAGACCAGACCACTGTCACCCAGACTCACGGGTGTTCCAGCCTCTCAGACTCTGCTCCCCTCCCCAAGTGCTGCTCTCTTTCTGCCTCCCCATCACGATTCTGTGCCTCCTCAACCCCCTCTGAGGGCATCTTCCCTGGCTTCTCCAGCTCCATGATCTCTTCTGGGCGGGATGTGGAGCAGATGGTCGGCGGTTCCTCTCTCGGCTCTCAGTCTTACTTTCTCTCTCCCGTTCACCACTTGGGGCAGGTTCCTCAACCTGGTGACAGGAACAGTCATACCTGGTAGGGTGACTAGGAGGGTCAGTGAGGTGACCTGACTACAGTGCTTGGCCTCGTCCCAGACAGAGTAAGAAACTGCTCGTGACACGTACCTTCCCCAAGCCTCCGTTTCCAGATGTACAGCATTAATAATCCTGACTCACTGGTGATGGTAAAATCAGACTCCATAAACAGTGGGACATTATATATACACACACACACGTGTATGTAGTTGTTACACTGAGGCTATTGGGGTTGTTTTCAGAAACTACTGGTTGACCCTGAGCTTTGGGTGTGTCTCCCTCCCTGGGCCTGTTTCCTCCTTTTCCCAAAGAGACGTTCCTGAATGTTAAATAAATGAAGTTTATATAAATAAAGCTACGTTTGAAATGAACCAGAGAAATTACATTTTAAGGAAATTCTCTAGTGAATTCTTTCATAAAGAGACAATAACCCTCTGATTTGTTTTCTGTAAATGTAAGTCTCTTTATACTGCTTAAAATAAGGCAGAACAAGATTTCCCAGAGGAAGTCAGAAGAGTTGAATCAGCATGTCTGGCCTAGCCGAATGAGTCTGTTAGTTGATTTTTTTTGCTTTTGTTGTTGCTAATCTGGTTTTGCTTTGTGTGTGTGTTGGAAACCTGAATAAGATGTGCCCACGCTGCTCCTGGGTCTCCAATATTGCCAGCGTCCGTGCTGCCGGCCGCTGGCCTGGGCACCTGCACTGCCCGACCATCACCTCCTGCCTCCTGGGCGTGAGGCTCTTTGCTGAAGACTGTGCTCAGCTTCTGCCACCATAAGGCAGCCAAAAACATGCTTGAAGAGCATCTTGAGGTGCGTAATATAGCTCTGCCTCTTGGGACTGTAAATCCCATTGTCCTTGGAAGCATAAGCACCACTTAAAAAGAGGTGGGACACAGCTTGTGTGTCCTAACCTCAGGTCCCTCATCGGGAGCTGTAAGTTAACACACGGGCACGTCATTGGGTGAGGTGAACAGCAGGGGTGGAAGGTGCTTGAACAAATGGAAACATTGTTGACCACGATGAAGATCCTCCTTTTTTCCCTCCAAGTTTCGACAAGGAGCATGCAGCCTAACTGACACTCCAGGTCACCTGTCCAGTCAGGTCTTGGGACTGCTCCACCAGAGGAAGTTAGTAAACAGAGCTGAGAGCATCTGAAAGGGCAGTGGACAGCGGTGGGAACCCGGCCAGGCTCCTTTGCACTTGGCTCTGCACGTTTGGTTATGGGGCGCAGGCTTCCTTCAGCTCTGGTGCCGGGAGAGGGCGTCCTGAGTGCTGGTGACCTCCCCGTCAGGGTTTCTGGGCCTTTCTGTTGTGTGTCCAGCAGATGTTTTTGCCGTCTTTAGAGGAACTAAGCTTCTGGGACTCGGTCTTGACACCACGTCAGTCCTACCTGCTGTAAATAGTGTCTCTGGAGCCACGGATGGTTCTGAGATCTCAGAGGGAGCGCTCCCCTAACGTCCCATCGTATTCGCAGCTGGTCACCTAAACAGACCTGTTAAGATACCGAGATGATGGTGATGGTGCTAGTGAGCCTCTCTGGTGCTAGTGAGCCTCTCGGGAGGTTTATGAGCACACCAGCCCTGGCCCCAGGGGCAAACTTCTGTCTCTGTTCTCGTCTGGTGATGTGCTCCCAGGGCTGCCCTTGGCGCATATGGCTTTTCTGTGATAGGTTGCATATGTTTGCTCAGAGGCTGCCCTTTGCTTAGGGGATACAAAATTGGGTGAAATAACCCTGTCCTCAGAGTGCTCACACATTCATTCAAGGTGATTCTACTGCCTTTAATGTTTGCAGTCTAGTATGAAAAATTATAATAGGGACCATTAAAATAGGACTTTCTCTGGAAAGTAGAAAAAAGTAGAGCTGTAATACACACTTTCTAGACTAAATTAATACTGGCTACTTTTTATATGTTTTTCATAAGCCATTTGGGCTGCTATAACAAAATACCCAGACTGAGTGGCTTATAAACGACAGAAATTGATTTCTCACAGTTCTGGAGGCTCAAGTCCAGGTCAGGGTGCCAGCATGGTCAGAGGAGGGCCTCTCCTGAGCTGCAGACTTCTCCCCGTGTCTTCACGTGGTTAAAGGAGCAGGGGAGCCCCGGGGAGCCTCTTTTGTAAGAGCGATGATCTCATCCACCCTCGTGACCTAATCACTCCCTAATAACCATCACATTGGGATTAGGATTTAAACATGAATTCGAGAGGGACACAGACAGGAAACCAGATAAGGCATGTTGCATACAAAAGAAAGTATATTAATACAGGTTTTTTGTTTCATTCCATCCATCCATCCTTTCATCCTGTCTCCCCCCTCCCTTTGGTCTTGGAGTGGTAATTTACATGAAATCTTACAGCTCAGAGGACTCGGCATAGTCTGCCAAGTAAAAGACCAAGGACTCTTACCTCTTCTGATGCTTGCAGCATGCTCCTTAAGCCTCTCCCCTAACCCCTCAGTGTCCCCTTCTCAGAAATGTTTGCTTGCTGTTTAGAAGTTTTATCTCTGGTGTCCTCAGAAGACGTGAAATATAGCTCTCCAGGGTCATCTATTGGGGTTATTTTATTATCAGCCTTGGGAATTCTAGAGAAGAGAAAGAAAAACTTAAGAAATAGGTATTTTATCTTAGAATATCAGCAGTCATGAACTGTTCTTGAAATTGAGCAAATGAAGTGGAGAGAGAATGGGGAAAGCTTCCCCAGGACCCTCACCTATGCATCTCCCTTTCTCTGGGTACCATTGCCAGAGGTCCCAGACTGTAGACACCATGTTCCTAGCAGAGTGGTGATGCTGATCCTATGGCATCAGAACCCCGGATCCTTAAC